ATCCAATTTAGTATTTAGATGAATAATAAAAAAAAAAAACAAGAAAATGTAGTGACTGGTAAATAAGATTAATATATAGAAGGTAACAAATAACAGAATATATAGGTAATATAMTAATATGTATATAGGTAATATACTAATATATAACATACTATTAAATATATTTTAATTATTAATATCTTATAATTTATTAGAAAACTTTTTATGGTTTCTATAAAAATATTGGCGTTCTTTAACATATTCCAGGGGGGGACTATTGCTTGCTCCTCCGAACCACCCCTTAAATATAGCTCTATGTGTTGATACATCATTTTGAGGTATTTTTTACTGCCGTGGGATGAATGCATTTGAATATCTCTGATAGTTATGAAATGGTAAAATATTTTTGTGAAAATATCTACAATTTGAATCAGTTTTATACCTATGAAACGAGGAAATTGTGAATTGTAACACATGACAATATAAGATTTATAATATATACATTTTTTGGATGAAAATGTTTAACATTGAATCAAGAATTAATTTTAAGTGTCATTGAAAATTCCAAATTATATATTTTGGTTAATTTAATTTAATTTAGTTTTGATATATAGAACTGACTGTAGATATTGAGTTGAAGTTTTGATTCATCATGATTTCTATACTATTTGTACATCATAAAAATTATAAATAAATAAAATCATATTAAAATATGAAATTATTTTCTTAAGAATACTAAAATAATATTATTATCCAACACAGTTCTAATCACTGAYAAAAGCATGGAATGCAGAATAAAACTTCACTTCCTTTTCTTTCAAAAAATAATGTTGAATAAAATATTCTTATTAATAATAATGACAAGAAAAAATTATAATGTATAAAATATATTACATGTTGGAAAAATGTATTTGAGTTTAATATTTAAATAATCATTCATAATCAGGGCTYATAAGATCATGCTTTTGCATGTTTTTTTTGCTACACCAGAAAACATGCTAAGTGAGATATACATCCGATTCAAAACAATGATGATAAAAATTTAAAGTTTAATAAAGCATTTTTTGGCATGTGTTGTATTGGCATATAGTTGATTTTTTGGAGTTATTAGCACACATTGTCATACTAATTCATCAAAATCATTTTTAGAGGAAGTTAAAAAAAAAGATTAGAACAATAAATGCTTGGATCTATTCTTATTTACTTTGGCGAATATGTTTAAAAAAAAATCTTAGTACTTAATCAGTTTATTTTTATTCATGTATGACAATGAGTTTATCAGTAAAAAGCAGTAMATTTTTTAATGAATATTTTCTGAACATTTTAAGGTATATTTTGTCAGTTTTTAGTGTATAAATGTATGCTTATTTAGTTATTATTAAAGGCATGAACTTACGAGCCCTTTTCATAATGTATGCATAATATACAAAGTTGGAAAAAAAACATAAGATAAGATAAATATTTTGATTTTGTTGAAAATGCAATGAGATTATAAACCATAGTATTTTCGAAAATATAAATTCAAATTTAAATTAAGACTCCACTTAAATTAAATTAATGATAGTTTCAATTCAAAATAAAGAAGTTATTATATGGAATATATATATATATATATTCATTATCTTCGTAAAAGCATACATACTACATGTTTTTTGTAACTGTACAAAAAGAGCATAATGCTGAAATTAATTTTGGAAATGCAATTAGTAAAAATATTTTACAAACTATTTATAATGTGGTATTTTTTTTTTTTTTATTAAAAAATACAATTTATATATATGTATTACATTCTTAATTTAAAAAGGCCAAAATTAAATTGATAAATTATGCTATTAAAGATATAAAAAAAATTTGCTGTTAATACATATTTCAGTATATGGAGTATGATACATTGTTAAAATGTAGATCTAAAAACATCATACCAACAGGCTATTAAAACATATGAAAAGAAAATATATACAGTTTTTAACAACATGATTGCATAGTTTCATAGCATAAATTATTTTCTTCTATATCCAGTTATATTCATCTCATAGTAAATGTTAAATATGATATAAGGTACCACGTCGTTATTGGTTGAATGACAACTGCCATAATCAAGAAGTATAATGTTCTTTTACGTTTGTATTCAACCATTACTACTGGTTGGCCAACATTTGAAACTGTCGCTACTGAATTCAACTGCCACCTCATTGAAAATAACTAAAGATTAAAAAGTATAAACGGTACATCTATAGTTTTATCTTGGTTTATTGAAAAATTATAATAATAAYGTATAATATATATTTACCAAAAAGTACATAAATGCAATTCCAATGTATAGTAAGGCAAGATAAAATGCAGTTTCACCAAAAAGTAAACCAATTGGAATACAGCTTATAATTCTGTAAATTGAAAAATATTTATATGATATTATTTCTTAAAAMCCACATTAATCAGAAAGTCAGATCTAAAATATTTCCATATAAATAATACAACATAAGAACAGCTCACATTTCAGACATATTAAAAATTACTTACCCAAAATATTTGTATCCTGAATAAGCTGTTAGATCAAAAGCACGTAGTGAACTTTGTATATTTGTAACATATAGTGCCATTATCTCCACTAAAACTACTATTACTTCCCAAGCAAGAACACGAGAAGCCTGTACACTTAAAAGTTCTGGGCTGAATTGCCCGTGTTTACCAAGTATGAGACCCAAAAACAGTAAATATCTGTAAAATAGTCAATAATTTAATTTTGATAAAAAAATGAATAAAACAGTTATGTTTATCTTACGTTACAAAAGAAACAGTAGGAATATAAAGATCTGGTGCATTGAGATCTGTTTTTGGTCTTGCTCGTCGACGATCATCGGTTTGTTCAGTTGATTCTAGCATAATTGACCAATCCTTTAACATAATAAAATGAGTTAACTTTGTTCAGTAAATTAAAAAATAATACATCATTTTATTTTTAAATAGTAACTTAAAAGCTATTTGGTCTAAAATAAAAAGAATAATATTTTTTTAATAACTTACTGTATGGACAAACGGAAACAATAATAAACCAAGTTTGCTGATCACATAACGGGTATCTACAGCAAAATAACGTTTTATTTCTGAACTTATTCCACTTGTATATTTGCCAACATTTTCATCAACAACCTGTCCTAAAATTTTCTGTCCGTACCGTACAGTAACTCCAGCTAAGAGAGGATTACTTCCGAATGCATCAACTAAATTATTTGAAGGATTAAACATCATTGGTTGAGTTTGTTGAGGACTTGGACCCGGACCTGAAATTATAAACAATAACATTTACATTTTGAWAAAATAGAATTATTTAAAGTATCATTTTTATTTTAAATACACATTTTTAAAAGAAAATAATAATCACTGAGTCTCACGTGTGTTGGTCTAGGATTGTTATAGAATACAAATAGAACCAGAATTAAAAATAAAAGACACTTTCAAGTTGTTTTTACTATTTTAACGCACAATCTGGTTATCTTGATTAGCAAAATATTTCTAAGACTGCCTATTATGATCATCAGGGTTATATCGACTACTGCGATTATTAAATATTAACAATTAAAAAATAATTTACAAGCATAAAAATATTCTTGTTGCATTGTTATTATTGTAAAACTAAATCAGAAATTTTCTTAAAAAAATGCAATTAATAATTTTAATTAACAATATTTTTAAAAGCAAAAGTATATACAAAGATAGTACAGTAAAAATTTAACTATTAAAATCAAAAAAATTCAAAGTTAATCATTTTTTTACAGAGAAAAGTATGTCTTAATACCTATAAGAATTCTAAATGAATCATTTGCCAAGTTTTATCACCAAATAAATTTAGTTAGAATTTAGATGATGGCAAACTGTTATTCTCTAGATTTTGTTTCAACTAGGTATTTTCCAATCTCCAAAGGTGTTCAATCGTTTAAGGTGTACTCCCGTGGTTGGGTTCATAAAATATGATTTATTGTATAGTGTTCGAAACCAGATGATTTTAATAATTGTATATTATAAGTAGTTTATTGGAATAAATTGTGGTACCTTMCAAAATGTTATTCTTGATTGCCATAAAAAAAAGTTCCTTTTTAAGTCTAAGCAACAACTCTTGGGCAATTGAGATAACCAGGAAGTATTTGGTACTTGGTAAGGGTAAGAGTACTGCTTTTAAATCTATAGATAATTATTCTAAGATAATAAATAAATATACTAACAATAA